TTTTTAAACTTTTGCAACCAGAAGCTGTACTTCATACTAGTGACAAACTTTGGTGTTTTTTGACGAGTTATTTTCGTTTTTGCTTCTACTTTTCATTTTAAATAGATTTCTGTTCTCGGCAGGTTTCTAAGGTTCTTCTTTTACATAGTAAAAAAAAACCTGTTAAACATCTGAGTGGCGCACTACTGCTACTAGTGGTGAGAAAGTGTATTGCACCTTATTCAAAATCAATGTGGTCCCACGGCCCTCTGTGGCCCAAAGTTAAAAACTGTTGTTCTTTTGAGGCCCTCAAGGTGGCCCATAGGTTAAGAATCTCTGACCTGTGATATACAAATGCAAAGAAATTTGTTTGTACCTATTTTTTTAAAGAAAAGAAAAAGGTCATTGGTCAGTTACCTTTAAAAATTGGTTAAAATCAATTAATCAGTCACTGCTTTTAAATTTTGCTTTAACAGAATTCTATAAAAACAAACACTGATTGAAACCTCCCTTGACAAAAGGTATGGCACCTTAACTTACTGTTGCACAGTCTTCTGACTCAATCACTGCCATCAAGTGATTTTTGTAACTCTGACACTTCTGCACCTGTTCACTGGTATTTTGGTCCACTCTTCATGAACAAACTTGTCCAGTTGAAGGGTTCCTTCTCCAGATACTTCAGCTCCTTCCATGTTCAACAGGAGTTAGATCAGGGCTCAGAAGGACACTTCAGAACAGTCCGATGATGGTTATGATCCACTTTTCAGTGTTTTTATTTGTGTTTTTGGTCATCATGTCAGAGGACCTGTGACTGATACCAAGCTTTCTGACACTGACCAGCACATTTCACTTCAAAGCCTTGATAGTCTTGAGATTTTATTATTCCCCGCTGATGGAACTTGTTGTCAAAAAGCTCCAGTTTTGTCAAAAGTACATTCTCCTGGAAGTTTTGCTGCTTGGCAATATTGGCAAATTCCAGTCTCACTTTTTATGATTTGGTGTCCTCCCTGGTCGTCTTACRTTGAATAAGTCTCAATGCAGGGGTTGTATCCAACGTACGACACGTTTGTTGGCCTCTTACTTTACTACGCCAGGGCGTAGGCTGTTCTATTTCATTAGCACTTTAGCCGACGAATGTGGAGTTTGGAAATTTATTATGGACCCAAAGAATTTGCTTTTAAATGCATGTTTAGCAACTTGGCAGATGAAATTTATTCTGCAATGAGATGTTAAATAAACTGCTAAACTCAAAAAAATAAATTATTGTTTTTGTTACATGTAACGTTATTTTAATAATACAAAATTTTGTGAAGTTATATCATGAAAAAAACAACTGAAGGCATGTGGCCTTCATGTACTACGGTCTACCTGGGCTGCAACCATAAATTGAGACATCAACTAAGTTGACTTTGGTTCAGACGGACTAATGCAGTCCTCAAGGCACACCATCCTGCATGTTTTATAACACACCTGATTCAGATGACTGCAGTGCAACAAAAGCCTGTTAATTCATCATCAATTGAAATCAGCTGTGTTGAAGTCAGGGAAACATCTAAAACATGCAGGAAAGAGTGCCTTGAGAACCAGGATTGATCTAACACTGATGACCTTTGACCTTGMACTTTACCTCTAATCTCTTTAAAAGATGTTCTGGGCTCTTTGTATTGTATTTCTCTTCAGTTTGTCATCAGTTGTCCTCTTATAAACACATCCAGGGAGGTTGTCTTCAGTCCTGTGGACCTTAAACTTCTGATTGGTCTGAGCAGCTGTARTTACAGGAACATTAACCAACGTGGAGATGCTCTTATAGACTTGACCTTTTAGCATGATGTCAATCATTGTCTTCATCCTGAGACACTTGCTCCTCAGCCTTTGGTGCTCCATGTTCAGTGTTTTTTTTTCCCCCACACCATGATACCAAACAGTGCTGTGGCCACCTGTCACCTTTTAAGCAGGCAGACTGATTACAAATGAAGACACCTGTGATGTTGATTACAGGACACACTTGAGTTTTATCTTTTTATTAACAAATGGGTGCAAATTTTGTCCACATATGTATTTAATGAAATGAACTGAATTCAAGTATTTTTAGGTAATTAACTCATGTAAGTCCTGTCATGTCTGTCTTTTTTTAATTTGTTGACTTTCATGTTTTTTTTTTCCTGCAGAGAGAATTATAGACAACATTTTAACCACCACAAAATATTATGGGCTTGGAGAAAAGCTAGACAGGTACACAGTTATTCATCTTTTTCTGTAAGTTTCTGTTTTAGCATCATCAGTTTTTCTAACTTRTGGCTGTCCTTCCTTCCAGTCTCAGCTGTAAAAGATGCATCATTGTGGGCAACGGGGGGATCTTGTTTAATAAGTCTCTGGGCACCCGCATAGATGAGTATGATGTTGTAGTAAGGTAAGCAAAGTCATTTGAACCAACAACTGAAAGGTGTGACATTTACACGTCACTTTATATCATTAAAAAATAAAATTCAGAAGCAGCGTTATAAAAAGCTAAGTCTGCTTTTACTGTTTTCATAGTAATAAAGAAAGCAAATGGCGTCAATGGTCAACTGGTCATCTTTGATGTTGGAAAATCTTCTGCAGAGAAAAGGTCAAACATAGTAAAAATCCCATAAAAGAGCACTGTCTTTTATTCAATCCCAGCAGAAACAACKATTCCCAGCTGTCAGCATGGTGGTGGAGGGCTGATGGTTTGGGCTTATTCACTGATTGGGCCATAAATTCCTCTGTAGATCAGAGTATTTTAGAGTCAAAYGTGAGTCCATCTGTCTGACAGCTGACRTTTGGAYGATTTGGACCTATTTTAAAGCTGTTCTTCACACAGTTAGGATCTTGTAATAAATTTTCTATCATCATGTGAGAAACTTGAGTTTCAGTTGGTCATAAACCCAATTTGAGGGACATCTTCTGTGCCAACCAAGCGTTTTTTTCTGCAGAATTAGCTGACATATCTCACATTTTCACGACTGAAATTCTTTGAACTTTTCTCACTTCTCAACAGAACTTGATTTTTGAAATGATCAAATCATAATGCATTTTTTTCTAAATGTATAAGCCCAATAAAATTCATAAATYTAGATATCAATATGGCCTTTTTTTCGTGTTACTTTTTTAAATTTAGGTTTTAATGTACCTCATTTTAAATAAAGAAAAGTATCTACATAATTTGCCCCTGATTACAAGTATTGAGCTCTGAGTTATTAAAAACATGATAATACAAACATACAATTATGGTCCGAGGTTTTTAGTGCAGATTTGACTCACAACCTTCTTTGTTGGCAGGTTGAACGAGGCTCCGGTACGAGGGTACAGCAGAGACGTTGGGACCAAAACCACCCTGAGGATCACATATCCAGAGGGGGCCATCCAGAACCCTGAAAACTATGAGAAAGATTCCCTGTTTGTCTTTCTTGGCTTCAAACCTCTTGACTTCAGGTGGTTCAGACAGATAGTCTTCAAGGAAAATGTGGTAAGCAGATATTTAAATTCATTTTGTAGGGATTTAAAATAAAGACTGATGAAGGATGGATATTAGGTTTTTAGAAGTCAGGATAGCTGACAGTCAATACACTGACATCTTTTCAGTTTTTGGCTTAAATAGTGAAAAAGTGTCGACCGTGTTGGTTAATGTTTTCTTACTAACACAGTTACTTTCTTACTTTCTTCATCAAAGAATGGTTGTGCATCTTTCTCTGTTAAAAGTTGTTTTTTATTCTGAAATTCTAATAACTAAATCTTGTGTATTTGTGGATATAATAGTATGTGACACTCATCACTGAAAGAGCAGATTAATATTAATTTTCCTGACATCCCCACACTGTTTTTGTCAAGCCAACAGTGCAGCAGATTTCCAAACGTCCTCACTTTCTGTTCAGAAACACAAATAACACAAACCCTTAGGAGGTGTTTGATTCTCAACACKCTGAACTGTTGGAAACATTTATTCAGCTCTAAACACTTTTTGTCCTGGCAGTTATTTACRTAATTACAGGATGTCTTTCCTCTAGACGCTGCATGTCATTTAAATGAGACAAAAATGTACAGGATGTGGTCATTTCAGTTTGTGAAGGTTTTGTGAATTGGACAAATGTGAAAAATCTAGAATTTGCTCCTGAAAAAGATGCACCAACATTAGTAAGTTTGTACTTCTGTACACCAATTCACACCACAGAGAGTATTTATAGGACTTGCTCCTCCTCAAATTTTTTTGTAGATTAGCTTTTAGCGGGTCAGTCAGAGGTCACCTTGAATTTGATACATGTGCCATACGACATGAGAGCATAAAGAYGGTTTGATTAAATTATGTAGAGTCAGTTTGTGAAAAGTTATTAACATTGTTCATTTTCCTCCTCTTACCTTGTGTAATAATCCATTTTTGTCCCTCAAGAACATTTTAATACAGTCAAAAGGCATGCCTCCCCTAATCCCAGGGGTCAGATTAAGCTGCAGAATTGTCTGAACTTTATCATTTTAGGTATTAATAGAACACAGCTAATCATAAGGTTTTTTGAATTCTTTCCAATTATTTAAAAAAAATCTTTCACAAGTATTTCTATTCTGCTTTCTATCTATGAACAGCCTTTTGTTGGATAATTGTGAGTCCAGTAAGATTTTCTTAGTAAAAACTTTGGGTTAGAATGATGAGCCTGAGGCAATGCTGGCATCCGCATCAAGCAAACTTTATTTAGGATTTATTTGACAAGAATTTTCATTTAGAAACGTTGTTTTTGGAATTCAATAGTCTAATGTCTAAATGTTAGTTTCAAGCAAAACTTTGCTCACCTAGCGTAGCATGCAATTGTGTAACGTTATCAATGTCACTGCTATATTTGATACTATACAGATGTCTGAGGTACAGCAGGTAAAATAAGTATTGAACACGTCACCATTTTTCTCAGTAAATATATTACTAGAGGTGCTAATGACATGAAATTTTCACCCAAAGAAATCAAACCATAAATGTCCAGAAATGAAGTTATTTGTAATAATGTGGAATGGCAC